TCTCCGACTCAGTGTAGTCAGTGTGTTATAAGAACAAGATATAAACTGTACAGGAGAATGGAGGTTTGAGATGTGTGTACTTCGTGTGTTATAAGAACAAGATATAAACTGTACAGGAGAATGAAGGTTTGAGATGTGTGTAGTTCGTGTGTTATAAGAACAAGATATGAACTGTACAGTAGAATGAAGGTTTGAGATGTGTGTAGTTCGTGTGTTATAAGAACAAGATATAAACTATACAGTAGAATGAAGGTTTGAGATGTGTGTAGTTAGTGTGTTATAAGAACAAGATATAAACTGTACAGGAGAATGGAGGTTTGAGGTATGTATACTTCGTGTGTTATAAAGGAAGATTTTGATTAACGAGTTCTGATTAAAATTTTGTTTTAAAATTATTCATAAAACGATTACATTGGAACTTGTTGTTACTTGAAAGATATGACAATAATATTTTCCCTTACCAAACAGACGTCGAATAAGAAAGGATTATGGACAGATGGAAATATCATAAAAAGAAAAACAAAAAATTATAAACATACATAATCCATTTGTTCGAGACTTTAATTATATTAAATATTTACTGATTACTTCAGACATGAACCTTGAATATAATATTTAAAGTTGTGTTTAATTTTTATCTGTTAAAACTAAGTTTGATAATTTTCTTATAAAACAATACTACATAAATTCGTAAAGTTTTTCATTTGTTTTTGTTTCTTTGTGCCAAACTACACAATGGGCCATCTGCACTCTGTCCAGAGCGAGGAATCGAACCCCAGATTTTAGCGTTGCAAGTCCGAGATTTATAAGATAATATTAGATGAAAATTAACAGTATGAGTTGTTTATCAAACATTTACAATTTGTTCAAATATTTCTAATAATATGATGTTAGTTTAAATTTATTTCTTATTCCAGTCTCCTCTATCTACTTACAGTGTTTCCTGTTCTACCTGTCAGTATCTACAGCATTATCAGGAAGACTTTAGCTAATGATAAGTACGTTGAACAATAGAACTGTTGGTTCCTACCTAATCATGTAATCTGGTCAGATCTTGTGTTCGTGTTTTACCTAATTACATAATCTAGTCAGATCACCTCTTCGTTCCCATCTACGTATATAATCTAGTCAGATCATCTCCTTCTTTCCTATTTATATATATGTGATCTGGTCAGATCATCTCTTCCTATTTACTTATGTGATCTGGTCAGATCATCTCCTTCTTTCCTATTTATATATATGTGATCTGGTCAGATCATCTCCTTCTTTCCTATTTACTTATGTGATCTAGTCAGATCATCTCTTCCTATTTACTTATGTGATCTGGTCAGATCATCTCTTCCTATTTACTTATATGATCTGGTCAGATCATCTCCTTCTTTCCTATTTACATATGTGTGATCTGGTCAGATCATCTCCTTCTTTCCTATTTACTTATGTGATCTGGTCAGATCATCTCCTTCTTTCCTATTTACATATTTGATCTGGTCAGATCATCTCCTTCTTTCCTATTTACTTATGTGATCTGGTCAGATCATCTCCTTCTTTCCTATTTACATATTTGATCTGGTCAGATCTTCTGCTTTTTCTGTATTCCACACCAAGCACGTCATGTGACCTGGAAAGACACTCTACTTACAGTTTTATAAACAACTCCAACCAACACGGGAAGATCCAGATAATTTACAGTAGTGTTTTACTACATCGTTATCAAACATATCGAGTTTTGAGCTATCATTTATTCGTCGCTGTGAGTATGTACGAATTTAAAGAGTAGGTACGTTATATTGAGTGTCACGTTTTTTACTTGCTGAAGGTGAAGACAAAAGAAATCACCAACGTGGGTTTTAATGTAAATAAATAACTTGAAATGTTCATTTTTCATAAGTGTTTAAACGTTTTGTGTGTGTCTGTGAGACTGTTGATAACTTAAATAAATATATAAGAAAGTCACAGGTGTTTAATCTCTGTCATAACCAACTATTATTTTTTCCTTAAGTTATTTCAAAATGTTAAGGTCACCAAAAATGGCGTGTAATTCGCCAAAGTCCACCAGGGAGAGCTTGTCAGAGAACTGTGATTATTGAGTGAATAACATTCCAATTGTAAGAAGTAGAACAAATTGTCCGTTTCTATTGTGACGTAATAAAGTTTTCTCTCATCCAGCGTTTCAGAATAAGCTGCCACCAAAAGATTTAAAAAAATCAGATCAGAGCGATGAATTCAACTAAAATATTTCTAAACACCTTAAAGAGGTTTCGGTACTTCGATTTACGAGAGTGTTTTTTATATTGACTGCTAACTTTCTATTTAGTTATGAACTAAAACATTTAGGAAGGAATTTTAAAATAAAATCTGATCTTTACAGTTGTTGGGCTATACCTGAAGAGAAATATGAGTGGATTATGAATGCCCCAAACCTGCTTTGTTTGTTGGTGAGTTTATTAGTTTTTAAACATGATGAAAACGTTGTTGGTGAGTTTATTAGTTTATAAACATGATGAACACGTTGTTGGTGAGTTAATTAGTTTATAAACATGATGAATACGTTGTTGGTGAGTTTATTAGTTTATAAACATGATGAACACGTTGTTGGTGAGTTTATTAGTTTATAAACATGAAGAACACGTTGTTAGTGAGTTTATTAGTTTATAAACATGATGAAAACGTTGTTGTGAGTTTATTAGTTTCGTACACATGAACACATTGTTGTGAATTTATTAGTTTCGTACACATGAACACATTGTTGTGAGTTGATTAGTTTCGTACACATGAACACATTGTTGTGAGTTATTAGTTTCGTACACATGAAGACATTGTTGTGAATTTATTAGTTTCGTACACATGAACACATTGTTGTGAATTTATTAGTTTCGTACACATGAACACATTGTTGTGAA